TTATTTTTTTTTTTTTGTTCACAAACTATTAAAATTCTATGTGAATTTTGAAATGAATTTCACAATAGATACTATTTTTCAAAAGATTTGAGTAATCAATGGATGCAATAAAGGGGTCTGTTTTTTAGATGGCAAAATTTGTTAGACTTTCTAGATACAGGAAAAAAATCAACAATTGCCATTCATTTTCTGGTCATTTGCACAACTTCTCTACTTTTAACCTGTTCCTCTCAAAAATTGGTTTTAATTTGGTCTACCAACTAAATTGACACACAAAATGCTAACACAACAAACTCATCATCTACAACAACGGGTTCTCTATGAAGTTTCTAAGTAATATGGGTTTAGAAAATTGTTATGTATATCTATATTTATATTTATATGTATTGAAAAAAGTTGACGGAATAATCCAAGATAGTAACTTGACTGTTAATTAAATGAGTTGACTTACTATTAATGGTAATTGTTGTCAAACGGGAATTAACAACGGTCTGATTGTAGTGAATTTAGAGTACAATCAAATATTCAACGATAAGAACTGGTATATTGTAAAAGGAGATGGAATGTTCGTAGTAAAGTCTTATTATTATTGTCTGTCCTTTGGAGATTTATTTTTTCTCCTTTTATATTTAAGTACAATATTTATCCGTACAGTAATCATTACATTTTGAAAGGTCAAAGGCGGCTCTTAGCTGCTTTTCTTGATAACTCGCCACTTGGACAAACGTAATGATGATTTATGCTGAGTTGTCGCCGCCTTACCATGCTGAGGTGGCATGTTATAGATATCGGTTCATCTAGTTATAACCGATGTGTTGTAACTGACATATGTTGACCGGCGTGTGTTGACCGACATGTGTTGACCGACATGTGTTATCGGTTAAATAATGGAGATGTCGGTTCTTGTTGAATCTTTCATCGTGCAGCCGTCTTGAAGTCGGTGGAAGCGTCACGTGCTTGCACGGATCTTAATTATCCTTATGCCGACCCAATCAGCGGATTAACGTCACTCAATTTAGCTTACTGAAAATGATATCAACAAGGTGGCCCCCAGCATTAATGGTCGTCTGGACAGAAGACGGACAATGATGCTTGATGGGTTTCTTCTCAGATCTGGAACGGTCTAATGAGAAAACGTCCGGATCTGGGACGAACCGGTACGGATGAGCTTAGATCTGATGTGATGGCGATCGAACCGTTGTTGTGAGCCGCAAGAACACCTGCAAGAACTCAACGCCGGAGGGGTTTCCGGCGTAGAGCCTCCGACGCTCAAGTCAGTATCTGAGAGAGGTGATTGATGGGTTTCTTCTCAGATCTGGAACGGTCTAATGAGAAAACGTCCGGATCTGAGACGAACCGGTACGGATGAGCTTAGATCTGATGTGATGGCGATC